TTTCGCGGGGGGCCGTCGCGGGATGGGGGTGAAAAGCGGCGGTGCTGGGCGGGGCGGCGCCGGGTGGCTGCTGGAGCGTAGTTACGGTGCGTGCGCCTCGCGCAGTGGCCACGCAGGCGACCAGACAGGGGAAGGGGGGGGGGCGCGCGGGTGGTGCGCGGGGGGGCCGCGAGAGGCGGGGGGAGAGTGGAGCTGTGAGGAGGGGGGGAGAAGGGGGGAGAGAGGATGAACCAGGGACCAGGCGACGCGGGGGGAAGGAGCGTCGGAAGAGGGTAGGGTGGGGGGCGAAAGTGGGGATGGACAGGACCGGCACGGGGAGCGGGCGAGGCACAGCAGGGGGGGGGGGGGTGGGGGGGTGGGGGGGGGTTGGGGTGGAGGGAGGAAGTAGAGAAAGGGGGGGGGAGACCGACGGGCCGGAGGCGTAGGCGGAGGGAAAAACGGGGACGGGCCAGAGGGTGGGAAAGAGGGGGGGCAGAACACGGGCGACCGAAGCGGGAACAGTTGGGTAGGGGTGTCTGGACACGGAGGGGAGCATAGGAAGCAATGGGTGAACCGGGGCAGAACGGGTTACGGGGGCGGGCGATGCCGACACTTGCTCAGTCTAACTGGAATGGAGGATGCAGGGCTGACTCGGTATCATAGCCAGACATTCCACACGGACAGTCTTCAGACGAAACTTTGGCCAGCAATCGGGGGTGAACTTGGGCAGGTATCGGGTATGGTTTTTGCGGGGCGGCGGCGGAGTTCCATGTGGACCCAAACCATGGCGGTAGTAGAGCAAACAGTGAACAGGAGATTTAAAAGACAAGCAGGAGGCGTGGGGGTCAGAGGCGGCACTAACTAATGAAAAGGCTGGGTCGGGTTAAGAAGCGGGCAAAACACAGACAGCTTCGGAGCACCACGTGTACAGTCGCAGTGGAGGAGGTACATGCGAGAGATTTTAGAAACGAGATCACGACCACATCGGGAGAATCAGGGAGTGCGAGGTGGGTTCAAAGGTGGAGTGCAGGTGGGGGTGGGGACAACATGCCAGTAGGGGGAGAGGAAGACGCGCACGGATGGGAGCCCCTGGACAGGGGACAAAGGGACCTACAGCGAACCGAGACGCCAGCAGCACAAGATGCCGATGGCGCCAGTTGAGGACCGACGCGTGGAGCGCCGACGGAGATGGCAGGGAAAACGGCAGCGAGCTGCATTACGTAAAAGATCATAGACAGGGAAGGTCGCCGCGATGAAACAGATTAAGGAAGATGTGCAGCGGGTTGCGCATGGGTAATCATTGGGTAACATCGCGCTTTAATCTGAGTCCTGCGGCCGAATCCATTTATCAATATTTTAGTAGTACATGTAGTGAGAGTTGTTCATCTAACTTCTCGGTGTGTGTTGTTGCGTAACATTCAGGAGGTTATCCACAGACTATGGGATGGCTTAGCAAAGCTAAGGAGATGCCAGGCTTTTACAAGCTACTGTCAAACGATGCCAAGGAAAAGACAGACTGGTCTCTCTTCAGGAGGGTCAAATGCCATTCAGAGACAGCGAGAAATTCGAGTTCTGTGTTCATAAAAGCCCGAAGGGCCCATACTGAGTCAAAAGGAATCTAAATGATGTAACCAGCTTCCTAAGGCGAGAGGAAATGTCTGAAAGGCGCAAATACAGGTTTGAAGGTGCACAGTACTAGAATCGGCAAGTCAAAGTCCGTAGTCAGGTGATGGAGAAGGAAAGGCAGGGAGTAGATTATTCCGCGCTCCGTAGCTCTAGAGGAAAATGCACGAGCTCTGTCATCTGCAAGAAAAGCGGTGAGGTTCTGGGGGTTGGTCTGAGTTACGCAGTTAATCGGACAGTAGGATATCTGGAACGCGAGTGACGTCAGATTTCTGTTAGAGATGGAGTAAGGAAATTGATAATAACACTATCTTGCGGATAAATAGGCTGACTTGCGTCCGTATTAGAGATGGATGACCTATTTTCGCTGCCACCAATCAGTATGCGCGACGGAAGCATATAGCCCAAAAACGCAAGGGTACAGATTTTGAAATGGGACACCGCTTTTATTGTAGGTCTTGTATGATGAGGCAATATCCGTCAGCACTCGGCCGTGCAACATCTGTTTACCTTGCAAGTAATTCCCTCGCGAAGACGCCAATAGTTTGGCATATATCGGGTGCGAAAAGTCACTCTCTTTTTGTATTATGGCTAGTGGATTGAGCTCCAAAAACGCTAGTGCTTGTCTCAGAGCGTATTAGTTTTGTCTTCTCTGTACATCTTTTGCCAAAGACTGGTTGAAAAGACACAACGGCTCATCTCGTCTTGGCTGAGATAGCTTGATTAGGTTGTACAGGCGAATGCAGCGGATGCGATCCTCTTTAGCCTGTTTTCCCTCCGTGGCCGTAGACAGACGCCTGGGAACTGGTCAAGCGGCATAGCTTGAATGAGAAAACAAAAAAATAGCCGGCCCAACAAAGAGACTTAAGAGGAACTGCTTCTGACGTTCATCCGTAGGTCCACCCTAGAAGGCAGTAGATTTTTCGTCCTGTCGCATCAGGATAAAGACTCGATTGAGTAGCTCCACTTTCGTGCAAAATCTTTTCCCGTCTAAAGTGTCTGAGACTAGACCATGTCAGCCTCCAAAAGGCTGTAGGCATTTGGCCGTCCTGCCTTTGGGTCACTCGAGCACTCAAGGCAAGCGTCGGTTCGCCTCGAGTCAGTGGATGCAATACCTCACATGACGTAGGTTCAAAGATCGAATTGGTGATAAGGTTTGGCGTCGCCAGCGGAAAAAATCCTTTTCTAGCCTACATTTTCAGCAATTCTGGTGTTACACACCAAAACCGGATGGGTCAATCCGCTGGCCCTCTTCATTCGCATATTTTTCGTTGTTGGATAGTCCTTATGTCCTTGTGCTCACTAGTATTTAAGTCTGGACAGGCCGTTCTGCAGCGTCCATTCGGTGGCTGGGTAGGTGATTTGATTAAGGCGGTTCCTGCTTAAAAACAGGAGTGATGCAGTTCGTTCGCTGGACCCAAGCCTCTGGGAACTCCGTCCGACGGATGGAAGCGTTGCATTGGTGGAGGAGTGGGCCCAATTGTGGGTCACTATATCGATGTGTGCTGGGATATCGAATTGTGAGCGAAGGCTTGTTCTAGGTTTGTAGAAGGTCTCGCACCAGCTAGCAAACAAGCACAGTTAAAAGAGAAGTATAGTTTCCCGGCCCAAGTTTCGATGGCCCAATGTCGGTGAACCATTTGCCGGTCAGGACAGCCGGCCCCAGAGGTCGGCCCGATATCGGAGGGGCTTTCCCCGACGTATAGGCCATGCCTTGATGGACCATTTCGGGGAGGTCCATCCCTATAGTCGGGGACCGGGGAGGAACACTCATATGAGTGGGCTGCTCATCGGCGATGCAAAGCGGTCGCCAGGATGGATATCGGCAAAAACCGGGGGATTGAGAGGGGTACCGAGGCTGGCCAACATCGGTATCAAGCTGGGACATCCAAGACCACATTTCGTTTTTTGGCGGTGGGGGGGGATTGGGGCTGAATCGGGGTTCTAGTTCTTCTGATGAACCCATGGGGGAACTCTGATTAAGCTGACCCAGTAGGCCACTAAAATACTTGGCGGTCCAACTCCCGCCCGGCAAAAAGATAAAGGGGTTTTGGTGGGCTGAGGGCGTGGTGGGCCGTCGGGGCCCTCATTTATTTCGAGGGGGGCTTACCCCCGGCCCTATTTCGAGGCAGGCCCTCTTACGAGGCCAGGCGCTCGTTCGAGGAAATACGGTATGCATTATTGGGCACGTGCACATGCTGATATCTGCATTCACAGCAAATTATATTCTGAAATTTTAATGGAATAGTTTATGTAAAATGGTATGGATATAGTAATAACTAGAAATTCTGTTGTGAATTAACCCATGCTCATTAACCTCCTAGCTCAGTTACATTCACAGTTTAGTGGACTACTTTTAAGCATGTAATCTAAAATATATAGTCTATACAGTTAAATATATAGAGCTCAGTAGTAAGGTTTCTGAAAATGAACATGTAAAAAAATATATCAAGAGTAGATGTGTGCTGTTTTCTCGCGAACACATTTTACTATTAAGTATATCGAATTCACAACTCATGAAGAATGGCCTAGTCTTAGACGTTCTGTCTTCCACTGGCACTGCCCTAACCTTTAATATTGGCTATGTTTCTAATTATAGGTAACCACCTTTTATGCAAGGAACAAGCAAAGATGTTTATCCAGGACCATTACTGCCATTTCGAAAGGCGAGATACAACGTAGGCAGAGTGAGACATGGACCAACGAACCATTGAGAGTCCCACCTTTACCGCCATCTAAGCTTATTGGCTGCAACATTATTGATATTGACTACTTTATTAATGTAAGTTTAGAGTTGCTTATTTATTCACAGTATATTATAATTTTTAGCTCAGCTGACGAAGTCAGATGCAGCTTGTAGAATCACATGATTGTCCGTAAGTCTGTCCGTCAACAGTTGGGCCCAAATCCTAACCGCTCGACGTATGGTCTTGATATTCGAGACGTCGGGGGGGGATCGCGAAAAGGACTCGGGATGTCGAATTTGGGGGTCAAGCGTCAAAGGTTAAAGGCATAGGAGGAAATACGGAATTACAGCACAAATCTCAACGGCTCGACCTACGCTCACCTTTTGCTGCTTGAGCCGTATTTATACGTTTGCGTGCGCTCGCGCATTTTTCCACGATGCACCATACATTGTAAGTGTTGTCTCTTGGTTCTCGCCTAATTTCTTATAATTTGGATCTTTATTATATAACGTTGGATATAATGAACATTACATGACATGAGTGACGTAATATTTAGTGTGCATTATTTTGTATTTACAGTTTTACCTGCACGTGGGCAGCTACATCATGTGTTGAGTAATAAATTTGGAGCGTATGAAAAAGATGCCGAGTTGTGAAATATTGGTTAACACGCACGGAACGTAACAGTTGTTATGTTTTTGACATATGCAGGAATCAAGTTAACTCTCAAAGGTACTGCGTCGGTGCACTGGTCAGAGCGGCACAATACTGGGTCTGGCAAACACAGACACAGTCACACATCGCATTATAGAAATGAGGAACTCTATTTCAACCATGAAATTATGCTATTTTCAAAAGGTATGTTTGGTATAGGCCTACTGATGTTTTATGCCCTGTACAGACTACAAATTTGATCCTACATCTAACTAGTCCAGGCCAAGCCTGGGCCAGATGCCTTGATGCTGTTGATTAGTTTCTTGTTTTGTAATTTGTTGTTTTATCAGAATAATGATGTGAATAATATGTATCCTTAGATATTACTAAATTTCAATAGTGTTTGTGCATAAAATGGCAAATTCTCTATTAGTATTTATGTATATATCTTCTTATCCTAGGAAAACACTGTCGGCCTTTCACAATCTCCCTCGCAATCTTGGTTCAATTGAAGTCACACCTTCTGATAGTCAGAGTATTGGTTAAGTGTACATTCATGAGTTTTGTATACAGAGCCTGGAACTTCAGATAACCCAACGATGCCTGCTGGCAGAAGAGTCTTCGACTTCTCAGTTCAGCTGCCACCGCATCTGCCCTCTACATTTGAAGGTGCACATGGTAATGTGCGCTACAGTGCAAAGGCTTGCATTGACCGTCCGTGGAAGTTTGACCACACAGCTAAAGGAATGTTCACAGTAGTCAGTGTCATGGACCTGAACTCGTCACCAGAGGCTGCAGTATGTATGAGTGTACAGGGATATAAATTAACTTTTGAACAAGGGAGTCTAACGGACTCCCTGCCCTCAAAAAGAGGGAGTCCGCAGTCTAAAGTTCAAAATTTAAGATATTAACAATAACGCATGCATGTGCTTATTTTGAAGATTCATGCGGTTGCACGTCTGCCAAATTTCCTTTGGTCATTTACTGAAAAAAATATGGTAATTCTGCAAGGCCGTGCTCTGGAACGAACTATAGTTGGTATAGCAGAATTTTCAGGGAGTCACATGGACTCCTGCATATGTCAAATCAGGGAGTCCAACAGTAAATCAGGGAGTATTTGACACCTGTAATTTCGCACCCTGGTGTAGCTATTAACTCAACTGAGAACAAAGTGATGTGTTGGAGGGACTCCTGCGTATTTCGCCATGTAACTGAAATATTGATTTATGATACATGACTACTATATAAAATGTATCACTACCTTATAATTGGCTTAGCTGAAAAACCTATCTCTGTCAAAATGCCATCTTCTCAAATTTGATCAACACCATATAATGCACTTTCTGTCACAGGCAAAGTTTGGCGCTAGTTTATCGCTCATGTTACAGCACCACGGTATTGAGTGACAAGCTCGTTGAAGCTGCATGGGGTAGTGAAGTATTGTAAGTCTGTGTTCTATAGACGGTCCAGGTCTCCGTTACACACGCTTCACCTTGGTGTAGCAATGCCACACTAAGATTTTAATGGAAGTTTTAGATAACAAAATCAACATGGTTAGATAGAGGACATGGTTAGATAGAGGACACACAGAACATTTCAAATTTCGAAATTTGATCAAGGTAGTGCTGAGAAATGGACGTTTGAAAATTGAAGGCGGCAACTTTGGGCCTTTCAGCGAACAGCACAGAACAGTAGTTTTTGCAGAACCAGATAGGGGATATGTGATACTAGTACGCTGTAGAAGCTTAAAGTAAAATGTCCTGATTGTGTTTCACCTGAGAGCTTGCATACACCATCTACCGAGAATGCAGACTTGTGTATTTTGATGAAACTGAATGTTCACAGGCACACAGGAACGTACACAAAGGTGCACGCACGCATACACACTCAAATTGAATATCACAATCTCTCTCTCTCTCTCTCTCTCTCTCTCTCTCTCTCTCTCTCTCTCTCTTTTGCTCTCTTCTCTCTCTCGCTCGTTCTTTCTGCGCGCACGTGCTCTCTCTCACCCTTTCTCTCTCCCTCTCTATATATCTATCCATCCATCGATATATATATATATATATATTATATATATAGAGAGAAACAGAGAGCGAGAGAGAGAGAGTGAGACTATATGTATAGTTAGTCTACCCCTGATATGCCCCAGCTATGCAAGCAAGTGTTCGGACAAACTGATAAATGTTGCACGCGCGAAGCAGGGGTGATTCCGTGATGGCGTTACATAGTTATACAGTACACAATCTATTATCCGAAACCCTTGGGACCTGACACGTTTCGGAATTCGGAATTCTTCGGATTTCGGAATGGTAGTACAGTACAGATTTACATACTGTATATCATGCAACTAGCCAGTACTAAAACCCAAGTTTTCAAGAGGCCGAATGCTGTACTGGTACAGTACAATATGTATGAGTAATGTCAAACACATTAATATTCGTCGGGGCGTTTTGGTGCCAAGCGCGACCTCCACGAAAAAACTTTCGGTTTTCAGAGCTTATCGGTTTTCAGAATTTCAGATAACAGGATAATAGATTGTGTACAGTACATTGATTCGTCATGAATACATCATGATCATATATGACAAGCGAGATGATTTCAAACTGACCTTTTATGGACAGGTTTTATGCAATTATCTCCTGTTTCCAGAGTCGCGTACTGTTTCATGAAAATTTTGGAGTTGGGTACGACGGCGCGACAGTAGGAGCAGGGGGAGCATGGGATGGTCTGTGTCATGCAGTCATGAACTTTCACACACTACAAGTACTACACTCCTGGAAAACGTATAAATAATGCAAATGCAGTAGTGATATTTCATATAGGTCATGCTGTGCCCCGGTGTGATAAATCACAGTAATTCTTGTCTATCGGCGACCTGCTCCCGTTCATGCTGTCCTAGCTATTACACGTAATACTGTAACATCAAGTGATGACTGCCATTGTGTGTTTCTCTTACTGTTTTTAGAGTCCCGTGTCTGGTCACAATGAGAAGTACCTGTGCTGCTGGTGCTGTAAGGAGGGACCTATCTCTTGCCAAGCGAGTATCCCTCACATGGGCTATGTACCAGGAGAAAACATCTATGTGTCGGCTGACATTGAGAACAATACCAACAAAGGGTGCAACTACTCTAAAGCAGAACTTATAGCGGTATATATATAGTGTCTTTTTCATACGTACCAGTTTGCACATATTCCAGCTTGCAATGTAATGGTATATACCGTATTTCCTCGAACGAGCGCCCAGGCCCTTATTGTTTTAAACTGTCTCATTGCCCCGGCCCTTTTTCGAGGCAGGCCCTTTTTCGAGGTCCGGCGCTCATATAAATGTATGCCTTATTTCAAGTACAAGTACATTTTTATCAGTCAAAATCTAATAGAAATCTCTAAATCTTCCGAGGTAAACATATTTTCGTTTGAAATTTCATTCAACTTCCCCACAAAACATGTCGCAAATTACAGTTTACGACGCTAATTATAACTTGTCAAGTATGGAAAGCATCTGACAATTTATTATCGCAAATTTATTTCAAACAAACAGAAGACATGAAACAAATGAACATTCGATGTCTCTGTGATTTCATGTGTCTCTTGTTGACGTTGTTGTTAATCTCATAATAAAATGCAAAGCCTAAACAGCTCGCTCAATATGCAACATTTCCAAAACAGCTCGCCCTAAATCACTAAAGCTATGGTCTCCACAGCCCAGCGCCACGACACGACACGGCAAAAAGCAAGCCCCGTAGGGCCACCGCACCACCAGCCGATTGCTGCAATCAAAACAATACATATGTGATTTCGGCGCATTGTGTCTGAGCGCATTGTGTATCACTTGCCTGGTTCAGAGATCCAGAAATTAGCATGCTGCTTGTCGCTCCATTGCTATATGGTAGCGCTGAGCAAACAATATCAATTTCAATGTGAACATATCACATCTCATGACCTCGCGCCCTCATTTTATTTCGAGGAAGGGGCCATTACCGCCCCGCCCCTATTTCGAGGGCAGGAGCCCTCTTACCGACGGCCATGGCGGCTCCCGTTCCGAGGAAATACGGTACGCTCACCTATGAAAACCTTAATATAGTCAGGATCAGGAGTGAGAAATAACAAATAAATAATCTTACTAGCTCATTTACCGCCGTCCTCCCAGACGATTCTCGAGTGGGGTCTG